GGTGGATGTGATGGGTGTGGTAGGTGATGGATGTGGTAGGTGTGGGTGTGGTAGGTGATGGGTGGATGCTATGGGGGTGGTAGGTGATGGGTGGATGTGATGGGTGTTGTAGGTGATGGGTGCATGTGAAAGGGTGTGGTAGGTGATGGATGTGCAAGGTGAAGGGCGTGGTAAGTGATGGGTGGATTTTGATGGGTGTGGTAGGTGATGGATAGGGTAGGTGATGGGTGTGGTAGGTGATGGGTGTGGTAGGCGATGGGTTGTGGTAAGTGAAGGGTGGATGTGATGGGTTTTGGTAAGTGATGGGTGGATGTGATGGGTTTTGGTAGGTGATGGGTGGATGTGATGGGTGTGGTAGGTGAAGGATGTGGTAGGTGATGGGTGTGGTAAGCGTTGGGAGTGAGAGGTGATGGATGTGGTAGGTGATGAGTGTGGTAGGTGATGGGTGGCTGTTATGGGTGTGGTACTTAATGTGTGGATGTGATGAGTGTCGTAGGTGATGGGTGTGGTAGGTGATGGGTGGATGTGATGGGGGTGGTGGTAGGCAATGGGTGGGATGTGATAGTTGTGATAAGTGATGGGTGCATGTGATGGGTGTGGTAGGTGATGGGTGCATGTGATGGGTGTGATAGGTGATGGATGACGGTGATGGGTGTAGTGGGTGATGGGTGGATGTGATGGGTGTGGTAAGTGATGGGTGGAAATGAAGGGTGTGGTAGGTGATGGGTGGCTTCGATGGGTGTTTAAAGGGGATTTGGGGGGATGTGATGGGTGTGGTAGTGATGGGTGGCTTTTGATGGGCGGGAGTTTGGTAATGGATGACGGTGATGGGTGTAATAGGTGATGGGTGTGATAGGTGGTGGGGGATGTGATGGGTGTAATAGGTGGATGGATGGATGTGATGGGTGGGGTAGGTGATGAGTGGATGTGATTGTTGGTGTGGTAGGTGATGGGTGTGGTAGGTGACGGGTGTGGTTGGTGATGGATGTGGTAGGTGTTGGGTGGATAGGTGAATGGAGGCTGTGATGGGTGTGGTAGGTGATGGGTGGATGTGATGGTGTGGTTGGTGATGCATGGCTGTGATGGGTGTGGGGAGGTGATGGGTGGATGTGATGGGTGTGGTAGGAGATGGGTGGATGTGATGGGTGTGGTAGGTGATGGGTGTAGTAGGTGATGGGTGGATGTGATGAGTGTGGTATGTGATGGGTGGATGTGATAGGTGTGGGAGGTGATAGGTGTGGTAGGTGATGGGGGTGGTAGGGGGGATAGGGTGTGGTGATGGGTGGATGTGTTGGGTGTGGTGGGGATGGTGACTGTGATGGGCGGGGTAGGTGATGAATGAATGTGATGGTGTGATAGGTTTATGGGTGCTTGTTTATAGGTGATGGGTGTGATAGGTGATGGGAGGATGTGATGGGTGTGATAGGTGATGGGTGGAAGTGATGGGTGTGGTAGGTGATGGGTTCATGAGATGGGTGTGGTAGGTGATGGGTGTGGTAGGTGATGGATGTGGGAGGTGTTGGGTGTGATAGGTGGTTTTGGGGGCTGTGATGGGTGAATGTGATAGTTATGATAGGTGATAGGTGGATGTGATGGTTGTGGTAGGTAATGGATGGATGTGATGGGTGCCGTGGGTGATGGGTGGATTTGAGGGTGTGAAAGGTGACGAGTGTGGAAGGTGATGGGTGTGGTAGGTGATGACCGGATATGATAAGTGTAGTAGGCGATGGGTGTGGGTATGATGGGTGTGGTAGTGATGGTTGGATGAGATGAGTGTTATAGGTGATGGAGTGTGGTAGGTGATGGGTGGAGTGATAGTTGTGATAGGTGATAGGTGGACGTGATGGTTGTGGAAGCTAATGGATGGATGTGTTGGGTGCTGTGGGTGATGGGTGGATGTGATGGGTGTGGTAGGTGATGGGTTTCGTAGGTGATGGGGTGGTAGGTGATAGGTGGACGTGATGGTTGTGGAAGCTAATGGATGGATGTGTTGGGTGCTCTGGGTGATGGGTGGATGTGATGGGTGTGGTAGGTGAATGGGTTTCGTAGGTGATGGGGTGTGGTAGGTGATGGGTGTGATACGTGATGGATGTGGGAGGTGATGGGTAGCTGTGAGGGTAATAGGTGATGGGTGGGTGGGTGATGGGTGGATGGAGAGTGTAAAGTGATGGGTGTATGATGAATGTATAGGCGATGGGGGGTTTTGTAAGGATGTGGTGGGAGGGGTTGGAATGAAATGGGTGTGGTGTTGATGGGGGGATGGAGGGGTGTGGTAGGTAATAGGTCGTGTGTAGGGGGGTAGGTGATGGGGGGGATGTGAGGGGTGTCATGGGATGGGTTGATGTGATGAGTGAGGTGCTGATGGAAAAGTGAGGGTTGGTGGTGTGGGGGGATTGAAGGATGGGGAAAGGTGATGGGTGGATGTGAGGGGTTAAATGGTACGTGATGGGAGGATCTGATTGGTTGTGGTAGGTGATGGGTGGGGCTGTGATGGATGTGATAGGCGATGAGTGGCTGTAATTGGATGTGGTAGGTGATGGGTATGGTATGAAATTGGTGTGATAGGTGATGGGTGGATGTGATGGGTGTGGAAGGTAAAGGGGTGGATGTGAGGGGTGGTGGTAGGTGAGGGTGAGGTGGGTTGATGGGTGAATGTGATAGTTGTGATAGGTGATGGGTGGATGTGATGGGTGTGGTGGTGCTGGGTGGATATGATGAGTGTAGTAGGTGATGGGTGGCTGTGATAGGTTGTGGAAGGTGAGGGGTGGTTTGTGATGGGGGGATAGATGATGGGTGGATGTGATGGGTGTGGTAGGTGATGGGTGGATGTGATAATTGGGACAGATGATGGGTGGATGTGATGGTTGTGGTAGGTGAGGGGATTGAGGGTGATGGGTGCAAAGATGATGGGTGGATGTGATGAGTGTGGTAGGTGATGGGTGGATGTGGTGGGTGTTATAGGTGTGGAGGGCTGTGATGGGTGTGGTACGTGATGGGTGGATGTTACAAAAAACGCGATTCTAAAAGCTTAGAGATCTCCAGTGAATACTAGAAAGGACTGCCCTTCTAGCATCCACCCTGTTTACTGGGTTTTCGTAACAAGTAGTCAGTATCCTTGTCCAATTATCATTAAAATTCAGTATTATTCAATAGCTAATGCTTTGCTGCACCTTTATGGAGTGGGGCTATATCGTTGTTTTAAGTGACTGTGGAATTTCACCCATGTCCAAGCTCCTTCTCCATAGTGTATTAGGGCAGGGCGAGAGGGGTTTCTTGCACTTCTTAATGAAAACAGAGTTCCACGAGTCTGGGCCCAAAGGGCTGAGTGCATAGGCATGTTGTCAATGGCTTTTCCGAAATCTATCGAAATTGGCATACATTTATGGAGTTTTGAGGGCCATTCATGAAGAAATCATTTGAGTCGTCGATCCTCAGACCGATTTAGTGGTTCACTAAACACAGAGTCATACGGGGGATTTAATATTTCACTCATTTCCTTGTGTCATCTGTGTATGCCCCAAATCCTGTCTGAGTAAGGGCCCGATACTAGATGTGGTATTTGCCTTGTTTTTGGCAAATGAAAAAAGAAAAAAATGCTAATGCTAATGCTGCAGTTTAAAAACTGTATTTGTAAAGCACCCTTTGGCAAGACAGTGATGGAGTGATTGATGGTGAAAGTTTTTTTTTTTTCGGGCCACCCTGCCTTGGTGGGCATCGGCCTGTGTGCTAATAAAAAAAAAAAAAAATTCAAAATGGAAAGTAAGCATAATATAAGAGGTGCCTGGAGACATGACTAAATTTGGGCCTACATATGAGAGAATAGGTGTGTGGTAAGTGTGCAATATATATGCAAAATGGAAAAAAAAAGGTGACTGCTTTTGGTGTAAAATAGCAATTCTGCAGTGTATTTTTGTATGGCTGTATTCTTGTTTTTGGTCTTATATGATAGAATGGAAGATATATTACAGAAATTGATACAATTTTGATTGGTTTCATGCCAGAAAGTACCTTAAAACTGAGCTCAAAGTAGCGGAAATGTTCAATTTTTGCCGATGTTCAAGAGTAAACAAATGACATCACCATCCAATGAGTGTCCAACTGGCCAGTCTATTATGCAGTCATGAATGGGCTGACATTATTTATACAATTTATTACAATTAATGCAAGCAGTCTGCATAACAGTAAAACTTCTATTTTTTGTGTGAATTTAAAAATTCAAATGGAAAGCAAACATAATTTTAGAGGGGCCTGGGATGTGCTAATGAAAGAGAAAATTGTTATTTTAGTATTAGGAATGAAACTGGCATTTTTTTGAAATTTGTGTGAAATTGGCCAAATTACAAAATTCTGACCACTTTATTGCAGTTAAAATGGTGAATGGGCAGTTTTTGTTACTAAATCGACAGAATAGAAGGAAATACTAGCGAAATAGCTATGAGTTGGCAGACTGGAACAATGGATGGGCCAAGAATAGGGTGTAAATGGGCGAAATTGCCGATGCATAAATATCGCCGTTGAGTTAAGTGTATTCTAACCTAACCACTCTGTAATCTAAAAAAATTTCACAAATCCGGCACCCTACAGGTCCCAATGATGTCAGATTAGTGACGGCCAACCACTGTATTATGTTTCAAATTAAGTGATAAAACTTGTAAGAATTCATGTAACTGGAGGGCCACCTAGCACAGGGTTAAAATAATCCAGTTATCATTGGGAAGACTGACCCCGTTCACTACATCACTTCCCTGAAAGGGTTTCATTAGAAGAGGGTTTGATAATGACCCCTTTTCCTTCTGCCTAGATGAAGTGTTGGGGGGCTATTTAAATGTGGTCCATTCCTAGATCAACAGCCCTTCCCCCTTCACCAATTCCTTGTAGATATGTTGGAGCCCAGCTCCTGGACCCATTATTCATAATTTATAAAACTAATAATTCTGGGAAGAATGTTAATGAAATCGTTATAGATATTATATTTGGGAAACTATAATTGAAATCATGTCAAAGGTTGTGCCACAGTTTGATCAAATTTATTTATATAACCTTTCCCGGTAATAAATCTCATGGTTAACTGGTGATCAAGGAAAAATCTACTTAAAATAATATTAAAATTGTAAGCCCTGAACTACAACATATGAGGGGAAAACTAGTGAAAGTAATTAGTACTATTATTACATATTTGTTCTATCAGCTGACAAAAGTAGGTACCAAGGAGCCCAAGAAGGCATTAGCCATAAATATATCATTGTGTGGGACATTAATAGTTGCAATCTTATAGTATATAACAATACATAAACTCTGTATCAACATTAAAGGTCACACTGTCATATGTCAACAGCCAATTATAAATTTATATTTCAAAGGTAAGACGTAAATATTTACTTAGTTATTTGTCACATCTTTGCAAATAGTTTGGAAGGACATTTTCTGCTTTTTTACAATTATATTTTTTTTTTTCAATTTAATGATGGGTAGTTGGCTGAAATATTCTTCTCGGTTAAAATATTTCTTAGTCAAATTATAGGCCATACTAGGGACGGCACTTGTGGAATGCTGACGTGCAACCATCTTGCCAATTATGGTAAGAAGCATTTAATCCCAAACATTCATTTCACTTACGCATGAAGCCTAGAAAAAGGTTTTGCACTGAAACTTCATGAATTCAAGCTGTCTGGTAAAATGTTAACAAGAAAATGGCTGAACTATCAATGTATGGTAGCTGCCGTAACTACAACTTTATTTCAGTTTTATATCTCTAATATGCTTTAAAATATAAGGAATTGGAATGTCTCCTTTGTAACTACTAAGTAATTTCTTCAGTCTTGGGTACACCATATCTCACCTTCCTAAATACAACCTCATGGAAAATTCCATGAAATGTCAGTATTTGTTTCATAATTTGTACTAAACCAGATCACAAAAATTTATCCCTGGTTTTTTGAGTTATTAAAATAAGATGCATACAACCACACACACCTCCCATCCTTCAAGAAAATTATAAAGAGTAAATTAAAATGAAATCTTACACTGTTTCCTTTCAATACAACAGTAACAACGTGGCCTAAATTTAGTATAATACTGACAATATAATATTAAAAGTTTTGACAAACTGTATTTGGATTTCACTGGAAATCTGTCATAATTTCAATTAATAAATTTTCAAAATACTGAGTAGTTTATTTCATTTTTACTGCATGAAGTTAAATAATATTAAGGAAAACTCTCTGTAAGGCTTGTTCACTAAGGCTCATCATCATATACATTTTAGCTACACAATAATAAATTTGGCATACAAATGATACTTAGCATTCTCATACACTCCCATAAAAAACTACAGCCTTCTCTCATCTATAGTTCATCTTTACCATCTAATGGAGGATTCTTCATAAAATCGATAATATCTGCTGCTTTACGACTTCTATTATATTCTGTTATCAGTTGACCTCGTCTAAAGAATTTCAACGTAGGGAAGCCATGGATCTGATAGCGTGTGGCTAGGCTACGTTCAACAGTGGCATCAACTGTGGCCAGCACACCAGTCTGACCTTCAGCAGCCAACTCAACTGCTGCTTGACCATAGTCACCCTTCATGGCCTTACAGTGGCCACACCCTGCAAAAGAAACAATAAAAATCAGAACCAACTTATATTTTTTTCAACAAACTGGTCGTATCCCACTGAGGCAGAGGTGGCCTAAAACGAAAAATGTAGTTTCTATTTTTAAATTTAGTAATGTATACAGGAGAAGGGATTACTAGTTAATTTCTCCTGGCATTTTAGTAGCCTCTTATGACATGAATGGCTTACAGAGAAAGAATTCTTTTCCGCTTCATATATATATTTTTTTTTCAACATATCAGCCGTCTCCCATCGAGGCAGGGTGACCCAAAAAAGAAACACTTTCACCATCATTCATACAATCACTGTCTTTGCAGAGGTGGTCAGATATGACAGTTTAGATGTTACTCTAAACAGCCAATATCCCAAACCCCCTCCTCTTAAGTGCAGGCACTGTACTTCCCACCTCCAGGACTCAAGTCTGGCTAACTGGTTTCCCTGAATCCCCTGACAAAATATTGATCTGCTCACAATCCAACAGCTCGTCAGGTCCCAAAAACTATTCGTCTCCATTCACTCCTAACATACTCACACATGCCTGCTGCATGTCCAGGCCCCTTGCACACAAAACCTCTTTTACCCCCTCTCTCCATCCTTTCTTAAGATGACCCCTGCCCCTCTTCCCCTCCACAACAGATTTATACACCCTCCAAGTAATCCTAATTTGCTCCATCCTCTCTAAATGACCAAACCACCTCAACAGCCCCTCTTCATACCTCTGAATAACAGTGGAACCTTGGCTGTCGATTGCATTACCTGTCGAACAAATCAGTTTTCGAATGAGGAATTAAAGAACAAAATGGCCTGGTTTTCATACATGCTCTGGTTGTCGATGGACAACATGAATGGGACAAAGTGGCTCAGGTCACATGCTCACAGAATGTGCACTGGACAGCGAGTTGACAGCGTGGGTCTGAGTCAGTATAGCTACTAACTTGCGTACTGTAAACATCTCTTGAGCTTTTGTTGTGCATCTTGTGAACTTTTTTTATTTTGTAGTTTTGGTCTGATTTTTTTTATTGTGAGATAAGCCATCATGAGGCCAGAGAAAAATAAACAAAAGGAAAAAGAAAAGTTGTACAAAACACTGTTGAGTTTGAAAAAGAAGTTATTAGAAAGCATGGAGAAGACAGGTTCTGCATGGTTGATATAGCAAAACTTTTTTTTAAATCAGCATCTACCATCAGCATGATACTGGGCCAAAGTGAAAAAATTAAAGCAGATGACCTTGCAAAAGATGTGAAAGTGATATCAAAGCAAAGTCCACAAATTGTTGAGGAGGCTGAAACATTCCTGTTGATTTGGATAAACAGTTACACAGTGATAGTGTTTCAGAGGCCACTGTTTGTGAAAAAGAGAGGCAGTTGCATGATGACCTAAAAAAAAAAAAAAAAAAAAAAAACTGGAACAAGTGCTGAAACTCAATCCTTCAAGGGTAGTAGGGGTTGGTTTGATAATTTTAAGAAAAGAAGTGGCATTCATAGTGTGGCTAGGCATGGGGAGGCTGCCAGTGTTGACAAAGTGGCTGCTGAAAAGTATGTAACTGAATTCCAGGAATATGTAGAGGCTGAGGGGTTTGTCCCCAACAAGTATTTAATTGTGATGAGACAGGCCTCTTCTGGAAGAAAATGCCTAAGAGGACCTATATAATTGAAGAGAAAAAGTCAATGCCAGGACACAAGCCAATGAAAGACAGGCTCACTCTGTTATTGTGTGGTAATGCAAGGGGGACTTGAAATTGAAGCCCTTACTTGATTATCATTCCAAAAATCCACTAGTTTTTAAGAAAAATGTTATGATGAACTATTTGGCTGTAATATGGAGGGCCAACACGAAAGCTTGGGTAACAAGACAATTTTTTACTGAGTGGGTTCAAGAGGTCTTTGCTCCCACTGTCAAAAAGTACCTCATTAAAAAAAACTCCCACTTAGGGATCTTTTACTTATGGATAATGCTCCTGCTCACCCTCCAAGCTTGAAAAATGAGTTGCTGGAGGAGTTCAGTTTTATAACTGTGAAGTTCTTGCCTCCTAACACAACTCCTCACATTCAGCTCATGGAGCAGCAGGTCATTTCTAACTTCAAGAAACTCTTCACCAAAGCACTTTTTGAAAGATGCTTTAAAATCACTTCAGAAACAAATTCTGGAAGGACCATTTCAATATCCTCACCTACTTGAGGCTTATAGATAAAGCCTGGGGATATGTGTCCTGCAGGACCATGCAATCAGCATGGGAGAAACTGAGGGCTGACTTTGTGGCAACCAGGGATTTTGAAGGATTTGAAGAAGAGCCTGAGTCGGTAGGGGATACTGTCCCTAGGAAAGACCCTGGGCCAAGAGGTGACTGAAGATGATGTGGAGGAGTTGGTAGAGAAGCACAGAACTGAACTCACCACAGAAGAACATCTAGATCTTCAAAAGAAGCAGCAACAGATTGCAAAGGAGGAGCTGTCATCAGGAAGAGGACGCAAGAGATGATGTGCCCACTGCACATGTCAAGGAAATGTGTGCTAAATGGCATGAAGTGCAGTAGTTTGCTGAAAAATGCCATCCAGACAAAGCAGTAGACATCCATCTCTCTAACATGTACAATGACAGTGTACTGTCTCAATTTAGACAAGTGTTAAAATGAAGCCTCAACGGATGGGTTTTTAGTGAGACAAAGAACCAGTAAGCCAGAACAAGGTGTTAGTGGTGAAAAGAGACAAAGAAGAGAAACAACGTCAAAGGGACAGTTGCCTGACATACTAACCCTTTGACTGTTTTGGCCATATATATACGTCTTACGAGCCAATGTGTTTGAAAATACATATACTCAAAAATTCTAGTGGCCTCAAATCAGGCGGGAGAAAGCTGGTAGGCCCACATGTGAGGAATGGGTCTGTGGTCAGTGTGTGCATATAAAAAAAATCCTGCAGCAAGCAGTGCATAATGAGAAAAAAAAAAATCGAACAGTGTTTTTGGATTAAAACGCCGACTTTGAAGTGTATTTTCGTAAAGTTTTTATGGTTATATTCTCGTTTTCGTAGTCATATTTGATTTGAATGGAAAAAAATAACTACAGAAATGGAGGTGATTTGATTGCTTTTACTATGAAAAGGACCTTGAAAAAGGAGCTTAAAATAGGGGAGATGTTTGATTTTTGCCAATGTTCAAGAGTAAACAAATGACATCATTGTCCAATAAATGTCCAACTAGCCCTTCTAATATGCAGTCATGAATGGGATGACATTATTTATACAATTATTACAATATTGCAGTAGTCTGCATAACAGTAAATCTTCTATTTTTTGTTTGAATAAAAATTCAAAATAGAAAGCAAGAGTAATATAAGAGGGGCCTGGAGAGTGACTGATAAACAAAGAAAATGTTATTTTAGAGCCAGGAATGTCTGCATTGTTCATTCTGGACCCTATTTTGAAAATGGCATATTTTTAATTTGCGTGAAATTGGCCAAATTGCCAATTTCTGACCACTTTATTGGGTAGTTTGTAGACAGCCTGTACTGTCTGCATAGAGTGCCCATGCTGTCGGCCAGCTGAGTTCGTATTTCGCGCCTTGCTCGTGCTGCCACCTATAGGCCTACCACTTCAGTATGCCCACACCTGCCTCTACCTCACTCTCTCAGCAGCCTTCACTCAGTCAACAAGGCCTACTCCTCTCTCCCTCGCTGGACATGGCCCTCCCGGGCCATGGGCACTTACCACACTGCCTGTGTACCCCACGACATTGCAAATAAAGTAAGAAACCTCCGAAGCCTTATCATTGAACCCTGCTCTGCAAGAACCACCAATAATCTGGTAAACATTGGTGACAGCGGTGGTCGCAGCGGTTGTGTTGCCCAAGGAAGGAAGAGGAATGAAGTTGTCTTCACTTCATCACCATACACAAGAAGCATTCATCTCTTGATGAGTTATCCTGATGTCGTGTCTGCACGTTTCAGCATCCAGACACAGGTACAAGCAGGATTTGGCCTAAATTTACCGAATTTCTTCAAGAATTGTAAGTGGCATCCCTGTGACTCCACACCACAGCATCCCACGCTGTTCAAGTCACGTGTTCAGTGCATGGTTCTGCTGTTGTTCAGCTCAGCATGGCTATTTCAGCAAGTCAGAGGTGAGTTTGTGGTGATTTCAGCATCCAGTGTGGGTGTTTCTCCAAGTGGGTATGAGGGAGAGGAACTGGCCGAGTTCCTCGCTTCACTCACATCTCACCCGCCTACCACCACACTCCACCACTATGTACTCACTCCCTCTGCCGTGTTTTCTGCTGTTTTCCATGTGAATTCATTGCCAGAGCTGTGTATCTGAGTGCCCGAGGCCACTCGAAGCCACCACATGGATCACGAAGCCACGTGGATCAGCATGCCACGTAGATTACGAAGCCACGTGGAGCAAGCCACATGGGGTGTGGACGATGTCACGTGGATCTACAAGCCATGTGGGTTACCAAGCCAGACGTCCCAGGCCACATGCTGTGGTCTGCTGCCGCATCACTCCTATGACGTCATCCACGATGCTGCCCGACTTCACGACGTCACCTACAGTGCTGCTCGACTTCACAACGTCACCCACGATGCTGCCCGACTTCATGTCATCACAATGTCTGCCTGACGTCACCTCAAGACGTCTGCTGACGTCACCTTGCGACGTCACGCCTGACATCACATAATGTCACATTGAGTGTTCTAGTAATTATTTCAGTATTGTTGAGAAGACTGAGAGAAGATATATGTCATGTGTTAATTAATTCTTCTCAGTCAGTGTTCTCACATGTTCGTGTATAGCTTAGTGTCGATTTTTGCACAGAAAAGCGTCATTTTCTAGTAAGCCATGTAGCACCACATGTGCAGTGTGGGTGTGTGCAGCTTTCCTTGTGTCCTGTGTGGTCTTGAGCCCAGCTATGTGTGGGACCACAAGACTGCGCCCAGACCACTGTGTAGCACCTCGTGTTACTTGTCACCCGATGTGACCTGCATTTGACAGCTGATATTAGTCAGCCCCGAGTGGCTGAGCCTCTTGTACAGAAAACTTTTTACGTTCACCACTCATGATGCCCTGCAGAATCGTACCCGATATGATTCCCATCGAGATTTGTTTCACTTCACCTCCAGACCCTCAGAGTGCAGTTATATGTAGAGAAACAAAGTTAGACCCTGACGGCAGGTGCTGTGTCAGCCTCGTGTCACAAGCTTCAGTGAGCAGCCTGCACAATGATGATGTCACTTTGACTGCTAGCCCACCCACACTAGTACGGTGTATGATGTTATAACTCCCAGATGTTTCGCCGAGTCTGCCACGACTCCACGCTCGCCAGCAGTGACAGCCCCAGCAACAGTATCAGTTGAGAAATGTCCTCCTGAGTCGCATGCCAGAAGAAAGTCCTGCCCAGTTGCCAAGTACTGATGACGCCTCACTCGGGGGCACCAACAGGTTGTGCCCCAGGTTGAGTGAAACCTTGCAGTGACTCCTACGATGACTGCTTCACTGTTCCAGAGGAGACCGTACCCTGTTACGTCACAGCTGAGCCGCAGTGATGTCTCCTGTGTTGCAGTATCTGTCCAGGTGCAGGAAGGCGTGCAGCGATGCCCCTCGACGCTCACTGCTTTAGACCATGATGTTTAGCACACCTCACCTGTTTTTTTACTTCCCTCCCTGTAGGAAGTTTTTTTTTTTCCATGTCCATGTATGTATATATATATGTTTTTATTTTGTGGTCTGTGGTCTGTGCCCTGCGAGAGAGAGAGAGAGACCGAGTTTTTTTTTATAGGCAGTCATGGACAGGGACGACCATGGTGGTGTGTGGCCGAGCAAATGTAGACAGTCTGTACTGTCTGTATAGAGAACCCATGCTGTCTGCCAGCTGAGTTCATATTTCATGCCTTGCTCATGCTGCCACCTATAGGCCTACCACTTCAGTATGTCCACACCTGCCTCTACCTCACTCTCTCAGCAGCCTTCACTCAGACAACAGGACTAGTCCTCTCTCCCTCACGGGCATGGCTCTCCCGAGCCATGGGCACTTAACACACTGCCTGTGTACCCCATGACATTGCAAATAAAATAAGAAGCCTCTGAAGCCTTATCATTGAACCCCGCTCTGCAGGAACGACCAATAAACTCTTAAGCATTTCCGCTACCAAGAACGACCCAATAAACCTGTAAACAAGTTAAAATCGGTAACTGGGCAGTTTCTTGTACTCAGTTGATAAAACAAATGGAGTTCAAAAGAAATAGCTATGAGTTTGGTCAACTGGAACAATGGAATTAGCTGAAAATAGGGCTCAAAAAGGGCGAAATTGCCAATTCGTAAATATTGCCAAGGTCGCTAACTTTGCGAGCGCGCAATTCCATAAGTTTTCCATCAAATTTCGTACTTTTGGTGTCATTACCATCGGGAAAAGATTCTCTATCATTTCATAAGAATTTTTTTTTTTTTTTTCCAAATATTTTGTGACATCAGGAGACACCTCAAGATTTGAGGTTGCAACAATCAAAGGGTTAATAGAAGGTGACTCTCCTTCCAAGCAGTAACATACCCCCTCATTTCCTTCACCTCCTGCTTCCAGTATGCAATTAGATCTGCTCTAACAGGAAAAAGGCAGTTAAATTTTCATTTACTATACAATATTTCAGTAAAATTTTCATTTAGTATTCACTTTTAGTTTCCCTGTGCTGTATAATTTTATGCATTGTTTTATGTAGTTGTTAGTACATTATTAATAAATTATTATATTTTCATTTAGGATCTGGAATGGATTAATTCTATTTACATTATTCTTTATGGGAAAAATGGCTTTGGTTGTTGAACTGACATCTGGAATGAATTAAACTCAACAACTGAGGTTCCACTGTACTTTTAGTAACTCCACACCTCCTCCTAATTTCCACACTACGAATTCTCTGCATAATATTTACACCACACATTGCCCTTAGACACAACATCCCCACTGCCTCCAGCTTCTTTCTTGCTGCAGCATTCACAACCCATGCTTTGCAACCATATAAGTGTGTTGGTACCACTATACTCTTTTACGTTCCCTTCTTTGCCTCCATGGATAATGTTTTTTGTCTCCACAGGTATCTCAGTGCACCATACACCTTTTTTTTCAACAATTCTATGGTTAACCTCATCCTTCATAAACCTATCTGCTGACAAGTCTACTCCCAAATGTATCTGTTATGTATCTGTTGTTAAATACATTACATTTTGTAAATAGTATCTACACTGTACATACATACAAGCTTAGTTTGAAGAGCTCTTTTATTCTTGCAGATCAGCCAGATTATTCCATTTACCATTATTAACCCTTTCAGGGTCTGTGCTGTAGTTCTACGACTTTGAGCTGAGGATCCAAACCGTAGATCTACGCCACGAGCTCAGCTCACTCTGATAAGCTGTGAGTGGTAAATTTGGGCCTAGATATGAGAGAATACATCTATGTGGTATGTGTGCATCATATAAAACAAATCCTGCAGCACACAGTGCATGAGAAAAAAAAAACTGAGACCGAAATTTTTGATTAAAACTGACTTTGAAGTGTTTTTTCGTATGTTTTTAATAGTTGTATTTGCGATTTCTTGGTCTCATTTGATAGAATGGAAGATATATTACAGAAATAGAGATGATTTTAATTGGTTTTAATAGTGGAAATGGCTTGAAACTAAGCTCAAAGTAGAAGAAATGTTAATTTTTGCCGATGTTCAAGAGTAAACAAATAACCTCACGTCTAATACATACCAGCTGGTGGGTCTAATATACATTCACATATGTGGTGATATTGTTTATACAATTATTACAATATTGCATAACAGTAAATCTTCTACTTTTTGGTTTGAATAAAAATTCATTATGTGAATAAAAATCAAAATTGAATTCATTTGTAAAGCCTGAAAATGTAACTATTGAACAGAAGAAATGTTAGTTTAGTGCCAGGAATGCCTGCATTGTTTATTCTGGACCCTATTTTGAAATTGGAATACAGTGGACCCCCGGTTAACGAACTTTTTTCATTCCAGTAGTATGTTCAGGTGCCAGTACTGACCGAATTTTTTCCCATAAGGAATATTGTGAAGTAGATTAGTCCATTTCAGACCCCCAAACATACACGTACAAACGCACTTACATAAATACACTTACATAATTGGTCGCATTTGGAGGTGATCGTTAAGCGGGGGTCCACTGTATTTTGAACTTTGCGTTAAATTGGCCAAATTATCAATTTCCGATCACTTTATTTTGTAGTTGAAACAGTTGACTTGGCAATTTCTTGTCCTCAATTGATAGAATAGAAGTAATACTAGTGAAATAGCTAAGAATTTGGTTGACTGGAATAATGTAATTGGCCTAAAACGGGAGTCAAAGTTGGCAAAATCGCTGATGCGTAAATATCGCTGACACATCAAAATTCATAAGGGCACAATTTTGTCAATTTTCCATCAAATTTCGTACTTTTTGTTTTATTGCCTTCAGAAAAAGATTCCCTACCATTTCATAAGAAGAAATAACAAAAATTTTTTTTTTTAAATTCATGGAACCTGGTGCACACTTTGAAATTTGGCCTCTGGACCCTGAAAGGGTTAAAGACATTATCAAGTATCTTCTGAATGAACATGGACTTTGAATTAAGTTACATTCACTAAGTTTATGATAGGTCTACTTTTAACCTTTAAACTATTACTGGTTGGCATTTTGCTGACCTGTGTTCATTTTCTTTTCTTGCAAAAATATTTTAGTTTATCACAGTACATGTTAACCATTCACAAAAATAATAAAAAAAATATTTGAAGATTTTATCTTTCTACAGTTTTGAAGATTAGGCCCCTGAAGTACAGTTGTACAAGCAGTAAAATTTACATGAAGCCCCAAATTGTTTATAATGTCTATCACATAAAATGAAATTATTTGTAGCTGTTCATTATTTTCTTTGTTTTACAATATTTACAATTGTCAGTCATGTTGTAGATATGTTTAGGTATGTGATGCACATTGCTACTATACAATCATCACACCAGAAACACATCTTTGTGCTGAATGAGCCATCTTGTTATGACTACATAAGTGACACTTATTTTGAGCATAGTTCTCCATACTTGTAGCAGGCAGAGGCTCAGGGAAGTGTCTGTCCATCAAACATTTTTTAAATGAAGTGTAGTATCACACAAATGTGATACTACAGTCAATATGTAAGTAAAAAGATATAATATGCAATAATCTAGCAATGTAGAGAACAGCATTAACCTTATAACTCAATTGCTATTCCAAAACTGTTTTTAACTTACATGGTGCATAGAACATAACAAGAGCCTCTTTGTTATTGATAAATGTGTCAAAAGTGGCTTCTGTTAAGTGGTGAATTAAGTTTCCTCCCTGCACTGATGCCCACTCCTCCCTTGGTGAAGGTGGCGGAGGTGGAGAGCCACTCAGTGGATTCTCTGGATCTTCCATAAATTTCACGAAATCGATTTCCTATAAAATAAGAGAAAATATGCAATAGTTTATCACCAGATATCCACAAAACATAGAAATTCACAATGACCATTTTTCACCACCCTTCACTGAAACGAATTTTAGAGAAAAGTCTCTTGATATTTCTAACGAGACAACAGTGAAAGAAATCCCCAAAAAATGAGTACCTGATTCTTTTAAGTTATTGTTTTAATGTTTCTTATGCTTCTGAATACTGGTTCTCCTAGAGGGTGGACCTGAAAGAAAGTCTGATTAATGCTGTCCACTATCTACCAGATTTATTGCTCTAATATGCTCTATCTTTTACATTTTCTTTGCTGGAAGTAATAAAAATTCTATCTATATAGAAATTCACTGAACAAAAAAGTTGCTATTTCTACATATTGAAGCTTGTTAGGTTATTTTAAGAATGCTGAAACTGAATCTTAAGTCAGAATTAACCCATCACATAAGTTATTGGTTACATATGGGCATCTACATTACATGTATTAGCTTAAACACACTTCTGAGGAAACCCTTGTGGCTGTTGGATTACGTGCACAAATATGAACCCTACACATTATGTCTGCTTGTTAGGTAGACTTGAAGATTACCAGTTATCCTCTGGCTGTCCCAGTATTCAGACATATTTACAGAAGGTTACTATTCCTTATGTACATTGATGTTTATTTTGCACAAGCTGAATTTCTCTGCCACATACACATATTCATATTTACATTCAAGTTCTTTTGCTCTATTATATGAAAACAATGTTTCAGAGTAACATGAACAGACGAGGATGTTTGAACAGCGCAGACAGCTTTTGCTATATACATTTTTATTTTTCAACAAGTTGGCCGTCTCCCACCGAGGCAGGGTGACCCAAAAAGAAAATACTTTCATCATCATTCAACACTTTCACCTCACTCACACATAATCACTGTTTTTGCAGAGGTGCTCAGAACACAACAGTTTAGAAGCACATACGTATAAAGATACACAACATATCCCTCTGAACTGCTAATATATACATGTATGATCAACAAAAACATAACAAATTATGATAAGATTGTATGCAAGCACTACTTCAGATGCAAGATAGGTGATCAAGATCAAACATGAGCTACACACACATACATTGTAGTTTGTATCTCTCAACTGACAGTAGGTAAAGGCCATTTGCAGACCCAATGGTGTGACAAGAATGACTTACTTTGCATGGTTTATGTGGTTGATTTCTTGAAGAAAAACAAGAAAAAGATAACATATCCAGACTGTGAGCCAGCATTAAAAGCTGGGCCAAATAGTGAAGCACTCCTATATATGTTCTACCTAAAAGAATAAAAAGGCACAATACAGTGACTGGAACATTATACAAATAACCCACAAACAGGAGAATGAAACTTATGACAGCATTTCAGTCTGACTGTTGGTAAACTTGCAGACTTTGTTTCTTAAGAAGGACCGTAACTCCTTTTGAAGCACTGCTGTAAAGCATGTTCTGGAGCAGGCAGGTAGATCTTCTCATCTAGTGCACAAAGAACTGCAGGTTAAAACAAACCAGTGGCATATGAAAGAATACCTAAAGACTCAACTGCAACAATCCACTGGTGAAGCTGCATCAACATCACAATATCCACTGCCTTCAACAGCACAAGTTCCCCAATCTTCAACTTCAGCCCAATAGGGTCACAGCCACCCTTTCCAATAATTTCAGGATATTAAGTATCAAGAGCCCAACTTGAAGGTAAGTAACAAATCATCATCATCTTTCAACAAACCAGCCATATCCCACCAAAGTAGGGTGATCAAAAAAAGAAAAACAAAAGTTTCACTTTTTAACCCCTTAACTGACCAAACGTAGATCTACATTCTTACTGCTAGTGCTCCAAGCGTAGATCAACTTTTAATTTTCCTGCCTCCAAATCTGACGCAATTGGCCTGTGATGCCTAGAAGATCCACTGTACTAGGCTAATGTATTTAAAATTAACATATCCCAAAATACAGTAGTAGGTTGGTAGACAGCAATCACCCAGGGAGGTACTACCATCCTGCCAAGTGAGTGTAAAACAAAAGCCTGTAATTATTTTACATGATGGTAGGATTGCTGGTGTCTTTTTTCTGTCTCATAAACATGTAAGATTTCAGGTATGTCTTGCTACTTCTACTTACACTTAAGTCACACTACACATACATGTACACGTTTATGTATGCACAACCATCTGAGTTTTCTTTGATTTTAACCTAATAGTTCTTGTTCTTATTGCTTTTCCTTTTATAACCATGGGGAAGTGGAATAAGAATCCTTCCTTCGTAAACCATGCGTGTTGTAAAAGTCAACTAAAATGCCAGAAACAATGGGCTAGTAACCCCTTTTCCTGTATAGCTTACTAAAAAGAAAAAGAAGAAAACTGTCAAAGTGGAATGTTTGACTGCATGGATGTTGTGCGAATGATTAGAAAAAGATGATTGTGTATGTTATGAATGAAAAGAAGCTGGATGTCCTGGCTTTAAGTGAAACAAAGCTGAAGGAGGTGGGAGAGTTTCAGTGGGGAGAAATAAATGGGATTAGGTCAGGGGTTTCAAACAGAGTTGGAGCTAAAGAAGCAGTAGCAATAATGTTGAAGAATAAGTTTTTTTTATATTATTATTATTATCACACTGGCCGATTCCCACCAAGGCAGGGTGGCCCGAAAAAGAAAAACCTTCACCATCATTCACTCCATCACTGTCTTGCCAGAAGGGTGCTTTACACTACAGTTTTTAAACTGCAACATTAACACCCCTCCTTCAGAGTGCAGGCACTGTACTTCCCATCTCCAGGACTCAAGTCCGGCCTGCCGGTTTCCCTGAATCCCTTCATAAATGTTACTTTGCTCACACTCCAACAGCACGTCAAGTATTAAAAACCATTTGTCTCCATTCACTCCTATCAAACACGCTCACGCATGCCTGCTGGAAGTCCAAGCCCCTCGCACACAAAACCTCCTTTACCCCCTCCCTCCAACCCTTCCTAGGTCCGACCCCTACCCCGCCTTCCTTCCACTACAGACTGATACACTCTTGAAGTCATTCTGTTTCGCTCCATTCTCTCTACATGTCCGAACCACCTCAACAACCCTTCCTCAGCCCTCTGGACAACAGTTATGGCAGCAAAAGAGGGTATATAAATTCAAGGATTATGTGGAGTAAAATAAGGGTTGGATGTGAAAAGCGGGTTACAGTAAGCATTTATGCAACTGGAGAAGAGAAGTGTAGAGCAGAGAGAGAGAGATTTTGAGTGAGTGCATGGGGAGTTTTGAACCAAGTGTGAGAGTACTTGTGGTTGGGGATTTCAATGCTAAAGTGGGTAAAAATGTTATGGAGGGAGTAGTAGGTAAATTTGAGGTGCCAGGGGTAAATGAAAATGGGGAGCCTTTAATTGAGCTATGTGATGAAAGAGATTTGATAATAAGTAATATATATTGCATGAAAAAGAGGATAAATAAGTATACAAGGTATGATATAGCATGTAAAGAAAGTAGTTTGTTAGATTATGTACTGGTGGATAAAAGGTTGATGGGTAGGCTGCAGGATGCACATGTTTATAGAGGGGCAACTGAAATATCGGATCATTATTTATTTGTAGCTGCAGTTAGAGTAAGAGGTAGATGGGACAAAAGGAAAATGGCAAAAACAAGTGAGAGAGAGGTGAAAGTGTATAAACTAAGGGAGGAAGAAGTTAGGATGAGATATAAGCAACTACTGGCAGAAAGGTGGGCTAGTGCAAGTACGAGGGTTGGAATAGTTTTAAAAAATTCAGTGTTAGAATGTGGGGCAGAAGTTTATGGCTATAAGAGGGTGGGTGCGTGCAGGAGGAAAGAGGAGTGATTGGTGGAATGATGAAGCAAAGGGTGTGATAAAGGAAAAAAGGTAGCTTATGGGAGGTTTTTTACAAAGCAGAAGTGTTATAAGAAGAGCAGAGTATATGGAGAGTAAAAGAAAGGTGAAGAGAGTGGTGAGAGAGTACAAAAGAGAGCAGATGATAGAGTGGGAGAGGCACTGTCAAGAAATTTTGATGAAAGTAAGAAAAATTTTGCAGTGAGATAAACAAGTTAAGAAAGTCTAGGGAATGAATGGATTTGTCAGTTAAAAACAGAGTAGGGGAGTTACTAGACGGGGAGCTGGAGGTATTAGGTAGATGGCGGGAATATTTTGAGGAACATTTAAATGACGATGAAGTAAGGGAGGCGGTAATTTCATGCACTGATCAGGGAGGTATAACATCTTTTCGGAGTGAAGAAGAGCAGGAAGTGAGTGTGGGGGAGGTGTGTGAGGCATTACGTAGAATGAAAGGGGGGTAAAGCAGCTGGAACTGATGGGATCACGACAGAAATGTTAAAAGCATGGGGTGGATAGTGTTGGAGTGGTTGGTATTTTTGTTTGATAAATGTATGAAAGAGAAGAAGGTACCTAGGGATTGGCAAAGAGCTTGTATAGCTCCTTTATATAAAGGAAGGGAGACAAAAGAGACTGGAAAAATTATTGGGGAATAAGTTTACTGAGTACACCAGGAAAAGTGTACAGTAGGGTTATTATTGTGGAGTTAATAAAAGTATTAGTCAGAGGGCTGAAGAGGGGTTGTTGAGGTGGTTTGGTCATTTAGAGAGAATGGATCAAAGTAGAATGACATGGAGAGCATATAAATCTGTAGGGGGAGGAAGGCGGGGTAGGGGTCATCCTCGAAAAGGTTGTAGGGACGGGGTAAGGGAGGTTTTGTAGGCGAGGGGCTTGGACTTCCAGCAAGCGTGCATGAGCATGTTAGATAGGAGTGAATGAAGACGAATGGTTTTTGGGACCTGACGAACTGTTGGAGTGTAAGCAGGGTAATATTTAGTGAAGGGATTCAAGGAAACCAGTTAGTTATTTTTATATAGCCGGACTTGAGTCCTGGAAATGGGAAGTACAATGCCTGCACTTTAAAGAAGGGGTTTGGGATATTGACAGTTTGGTGGGATGTGTAATAGGATGGTATATATATAATTGGGGCCCTGATATTGTAATTATTTAAGGTCACTTTTTATGCTGTATCTTTACATATGCTTCTAAACTGGGGCATCTGGGCATCTCTGCAAAAACAGTGATTATGTATGAGTGAGGTGAAAGTGTTGAATGATGATGAAAGTATTTTCGTTTTGGAGATTTTCTTTCTTTTTGGGTCACCCTGCCTAGGTGGGAGACGGCCGACTTGTTGAAAAAAAAAAATTATTATTATTATTATTATCATCATTATTAATTTAGGTAACTGGAGCACAGTTCCAATTCCCTAGATTAGTTTGGATCTGTGCTCTAGTTTTGTAAATTAATAATAATAATAATAATTATTATTATAATAATAACAAACGCTGCCAACTCAGTGCACTGTTTACCTCGCTGTGAGAGCAGTTCCTCGTGCTATGCTGACATTTCTCAGTTATTTGGGCAAATTTCGTTTTTCTGAGCATGGGTCTTAAGAAAGTAAGTGTAAAGGACAATGTTGAGAAAAAAAAGAGGATGATTTCCTTGGAATTAAAGCATGAAATCATAGATAAACATGCGAGGTGTCCAGGTTTTGTATTGATGGGGAAGCAGGGGGAGCTGGCTCATAGCTCAAATGTTGGCTGGCAAAAAATCGACCCAGGGACGGCTCGTATCTCAAAAAACCCATATGTTGGGACACTCGTAAGTCAAGGTTCCACCGTATATACATACTTCTAAACTGTTGTATCTGGGTGCCTCTGCAAAAACAGTGATTATGTATAAGTGAGGTGAAAGTGTTGAATGATGATGAAAGCATTTTCTTTATGGGGATTTTTTCTTTCTTTTTGGGTCACTCTGCCTCGGTGGGAGATGGCCGACTTGTTGAAAAAAAAAAAAATCCCAAAATACTCACAAAACTGCATTAAAATTGCCTGAGTGCATTCCAGAGATATCCATGGATGAAAATACTTACCAACACACACCATAAACTTTATAAAAAATTACCCAACAAGCATAACTTACCAAAATCTACTCAGATTTTGATTTTATTCCATAATTCCATATGTTATGGTAAATGTGTGGAAAATCTGGAAAAAACACTTACTGTTCGTCCCCCATTATATGGTTTAGTGTTCTTGTAATAATTGAAATACTTGTAAGTGGGATAACCACTGACATCGTTTGCACTACACAAAGCCTGGTAAGCTGTGCAATCGACTGCAGCAAACTCAACTTTTGGGTCATCCACAAATCTGTCTGCAGCACCAGTAAATTCAGGTTTGGCTTTCTTGCAGTGACCACACCCTGTTGGGATAATGACATTAATAAATTGTATATAAACAAAAAGGGTATACAAAGAAAGCCATGAATATAGCACAACACTCTACAACAGGATGCCTATTCCTTACTACAATGAATGAAGTTCAAAATGTTGAATGAACTTCAAAATGTTGAATAGTTATTGGGAGATTAATAATCAGGAATATTTTGTTTAACCCTTTCACTGTCGAGACCCTTGCTCTCAGTGTCGAAAAATTTAAAAAAAAAAAAAAAAAAATCTTATGAAATGATAATCTTTCCTGATGGTAATGACACTAAAGGTGCCAAACTTGATGGAAAATTTATGGAACTATGCTCTTGCAGAGTTAGCGGTCTCAGCGATATTTATGCATTGTTGATTTTTCCCACTTTGAGCCCTATTTTCGGCCAACTCCATTGTTCCAGTCAACCAAACTAACAGCTATTTTGCTAGAACTCCATTTGCTCTACTGAGTATAAGAAACCACCCATTTACTGATTTCAATTACCCAATAAAGTGATCAGAAATTGGTAATTTGGCCAATTTCATACACAATTCAAGTAAGGCCAATTTCAAAATAGGGACCAGAATAAACAATGCAGGCATTCCTAGCACTAAAATAACATTTTCTCTGTTCATCAGTAACGTCTCCAGGCCCCTCTTATATTACGCTTGCTTTCCATTTGAATTTTTCATTAAAAAAAAAAAAAAATTAGAAGATTTACTGTAAAGCAGACTACTGCATTATTGTAAAACTGGTATAAACAATATCAGTCCATCTGTGAAAGCATATTAGACCCACCAGTTGATGTGTATTGGACGTGTGGCGTGATCTGTTTACTTTTGAACATCGGCAAAAATTGAACACTTCCGCTACTTTGAGCTCAATTTCGAGGTACTTTTATTCTGATGAAAACCATTCAAATTCATCTCAATTTCTGTAATATATCTTCCATTCCATCAAATGAGACCAAGAAAATGAGAATACAACCATGAATACCACATGAAAATACATTGCGAAGTTGGTGTTTTAAACCAAAAACACGGTTGGAGTTTTTTCTCATTATGCTGTGCATGTTGCAGGATTTCTTTTATATCATGCACACTGGCCACTCCGACTCATTCTCTCATATGTAGGCATATCAGCTTTCTCCCACTACATTTGAAGCCTCTAGAATTTTGGCATAACACTACGGCACCAACACTTGCTTGCAAGCTGTAGTACTACGGTACTGACAGTGAAAGGGTTAAGCAACATTTTCACTAAATTATAATTCTTAGCAGTACAAGTGACAATGTTCAAGTGTAGGAAATTAACTATAAAGTTGTTTAATTATAATTACAGCCTCTCCTCACTTAGCGATGTATGTACTACTCATTTACCGATGCCTCGGATTTATGATGTGCTCTCTGAAATAATGTATATTAGAGCTGATTCCCTCTATTCTGGTTTATTTCAATATACAGTACACTACTGTATAAACATTTAAAAATATACCAGAAATGTTATAAATGATGCAAAAGTAACATTAAAACAATAGCAAAGGTGGTTGACACAAACCCACTACCATTACAGTATGCTCCTCACTTAGCAACGAATTCGTTTAATGACATGGTATTAGGAACGAAACTCCAGCATTAAGTGAGGAGAGGCTGTACAATACTGAAGAAATATACATACTGTTAAACTGCATGGGGAAAGGAAAAGGGAGACATGATAACCCTACTGTGGGCAATTTTACTGTTTCTTTTTGGGTGCAGGGTGGAGGTGTGAGAAATATTATAGAATATGCAAAACTGAATATAATTATAAAAAACAGTGAACATTACAAACACATTGCCTTTCTACAAAGTACAAAATAAAGATCTTTTAGCTCCAACAACTAATAAAGCAAGCTAACCCAAAAACACTAAGCACTGGTGTAGAGTACATATTATCTCCTTGACAAAAATTTATTAATCCTTAACCCTTTCAGGGTCGACAGGCCCTCTCAGAGACTTGTTCTCAGAGTCGGCCAAATTTCAAAAAAAAAAAAAAAAAAAAAAAAAAAAAAAAAAAAAAAAAAAAAAAAAAATCTTGTGAAGAGACAGAGAATCTTTTCCCGATCATAATGACACCAAAAGTATGAAATTTGATGGAAAACTTACGGAATTATGCTCTCGTGAAGTTAGCGGTCTCGACGATGTTTACCCATCAGCAATTTTGCCCACTTTGAGCCCTATTTTCGGCCAATTCCAGTGTACTTGTCGACAAAAATCATAACTATTTCGCTAGAACTCCATTTTTTCTATCGAATGAGTACAAGAAACCACCCATTTACTGATTTCAACTATCCAATACAGTGGTCAGAATTTAGCAATTTTGCCAATTTCACACAAATTTCAAAAGATGCCAATTTCCGAATAGGGTTCAGAATAAACAAGAAAGACATTCCTGGCACTAAAATAACATTTCCTCTGTTCATTAGTCATGTCCCCATGCCCCTCTTACATTCTTTTTCTTTCCACTTTGAATTTTTATTCTCACAAAAAATAGAAGATTTATTGTTATGTAGACTACTGTGTTAGTGTAGAAATGGTATAAATAATATCGGCGCACTTGTGAAAGAATATTAGACTCACCAGTTGACGTGTATTGGACGCTTGGCATGATTTGTTTACTTTTGAACTTTGGTAAAAACCGAACATTTCTGCTACTTTGAGCTCAATTTCAAGGTAGTTTTCTTTGTAAAACCAGTCAAAATCATCTCAATTTCTGTAATATGTCCTCCATTTTATAAAATAAGACCAGGAAAACTAGAATACAACAATAAATACCATACGAAAATACAGGGCAAAGTCGCTGTTTTAATCCAAAAACACGGTCAAAGTTTTTTTTTTCTCATTACGCACTGTGAGCTGCAGGATTTTTTTTATACTGACCACATAGACCCATTCTTTCATATGTAGGCCTACCAGCTTTCTCTCACTCGATTTGAGGGCGCTAGAATTTAGGCGTACTAGTACATCAAAAACCCTGGGTCGTAAGCCGTACTAGTACGTCCGAAACCCTGAAAGGGTTAAAATGTCCAAACGTAGATCTACGTTCACGTGCGGAGGGCTCCGAACGTAGATCTACGTTTTTGTTTATATGCTTTCAAATAGGGAAAATAAAAGTCGGAGTGCTCTGCACATGAACGCAGATTCAAGGATTATGTGGATGAAAATAAGGGTTGGATGCGAAAAGTGGGTCACAGTAAGTGTGTATGCACCTGGGGAAGAGAGGAGTGTAGAGGAGAGAGAGAGATTTTGGGAGAATTAAGTGAATGTATAGGAACCTTTGAACCAAATGAGAGAGTAATTGTGGTAGGGGATCTAAATGCTAAAGTAGGATAAACATTTAGAGAGGATATGATAGGTAAGTTTGGGGTGCCAAGTGTAAATGATAATGGGAGCCTTTTGATTGAACTTTGTATAAAAAGGGGTTTAGTTATAGGTAATACATATTTTAAGAAAAAGAGGATAAATAAGTATACAAGATATGATGTAGGGTGTAATGACAGTAGTTTGTTAGACTATGTATTGTTAGATAAAAGACTGTTGAGTAGACTTCAGGATGTACATATTTATAGAGGGGGGCCACAGATATATCTGATCACTTTTTAGTTGCAGCTACAGTGAAAGTAAAAGGTAGATGGGATACAAGGAAAATAGAAGCATCAAGTAAGAGGGGTGAAGGTTTATAAACTAAAAGAGGAGGCAGTTGGGGTAAGATAGATGGGCTAGTGAGAGTATAGGCAATGGGGTCGAAGAGGTATGGGGTAGGTTTAAAAATGTAGTGTTAGAGTGTTCAGCAGAAGTTTGTGGTTACAGGAAAGTGGGTGCGGGAGGGAAGAGGAGCGATTGGTGGAATGATGATGTAAAGAGAGTAGTAAGGGAGAAAAAGTTAGCATATGAGAAGTTTTTACAAAGTAGAAGTGATGCAAGGAGGGAAGAGTATATGGAGAAAAAGAGAGAGGTTAAGAGAGTGGTGAAGCAATGTAAAAAGAGAGCAAATGAGAGAGTGGGTGAGATGTTATCAACAAATTTGTTGAAAATAAGAAAAAGTTTTGGAGTGAGATTAACAATTAAGGAAGCCTAGAGAACAAATGGATTTGTCAGTTAAAAATAGGAGAGGAGAGTTATTAAATGGAGAGTTAGAGGTATTGGGAAGATGGAGGGAATATTTTGATGAATTGTTAAATGTTGATGAAGATAGGGAAACTGTGATTTCGTGTATAGGGCAAGGAGGAATAACATCTTGTAGGAGTGAGGAAGAGCCAGTTGTGAGTGTGGGGGAAGTTCGTGAGGCAGTAGGTAAAATGAAAGGGGGTAAGGCAGCCGGGATTGATGGGATAAAGATAGAAATGTTAAAAGCAGATGGGGATATAGTTTTGGAGTGGTTGGTGCAATTATTTAATAAATGTATGGAAGAGGGTAAGGCACCTAGGGATTGGCAGAGAGCATGCATAGTTCCTTTGTATAAAGGCAAATTGGACAAAAGAGAGTGCAAAAATTATAGGGGGATAAGTCTGTTGAGTATACCTGGTAAAGTGTATGGTAGAGTTATTATTGAAAGAATTAAGAGTAAGACGGAGAATAGGATAGCAGATGAACAAGGAGGCTTTAGGAAAGGTAGGGGGTGTGTGGACCAGGTGTTTACAGTGAAACATGTAAGTGAACAGTATTTAGATAAGGCTAAAGAGGTCTTTGTGGCATTTATGGATTTGGAAAAGGCGTATGACAGGGTGGATAGGGGGGCAAATGTGGCAGAATGTTGCAGGTGTATGGTGTAGGAGGTAGGTTACTGAAAGCAGTGAAGAGTTTTTACGAGGATAGTGAGGCTCAAGTTAGAGTATGTAGGAAAGAGGGAAATTATTTCCCAGTAAAAGTAGGCCTTAGACAAGGATGTGCGATGTCACCGTGGTTGTTTAATATATTTATAGATGGGGTTGTAAGAGAAGTAAATGCGAGGGTCTTGGCAAGAGGCGTGGAGTTAAAAGATAAAGAATCAAACATAAAGTGGGAGTTGTCACAGTTGCTCTTTGCTGATGACACTGTGCTCTTGGGAGATTCTGAAGTTGCAGAGATTGGTGGATGAATTTGGTAGGGTGTGCAAAAGAAGAAAATTAAAAGTGAATACAGGAAAGAGTAAGGTTATGAGGATAACAAAAAGATTAGGTGATGAAAGATTGGATATCAGATTGGAGGGAGAGAGTATGGAGGAGGTGAATGTATTCAGATATTTGGGAGTGGACGTGTCAGCGGATTGGTCTATGAAAGATGAGGTGAATCATAGAATTGATGAGGGGAAAAGGGTGAGTGGTGCACTTAGGAGTCTGTGGAGACAAAGAACTTTGTCCTTGGAGGCAAAGAGGGGAATGTATGAGAGTATAGTTTTACCAACGCTCTTATATGGGTATGAAGCATGGGTGATGAATGTTGCAGCGAGGAGAAGGCTGGAGGCAGTGGAGATGTCATGTCTGAGGGCAATGTGTGGTGTGAATATAATGCAGAGAATTCGTAGTTTGGAAGTTAGGAGGAGGTGCGGGATTACCAAAACTGTTGTCCAGAGGGCTGAGGAAGGGTTGTTGAGGTGGTTCGGACATGTAGAGAGAATGGAGCGAAACAGAGTGACTTCAAGAGTGTATCAGTCTGTAGTGGAAGGAAGGCAGGGTAGGGGTCAGCCTAGGAAAGGTTGGAGGGAGGGGGTAAAGGAGGTTTTGTGTGCGAGGGGCTTGGACTTCCAGCAGGCATGCGTGAGCGTGTTTGATAGGAGTGAATGGAGACAAATGGTTTTTAATACTTGACGTGCTGTTGGAGTGTGAGTAAAGTAACATTTATGAAGGGGTTCAGGGAAACCGGCAGGCCGGACTTGAGTCCTGGAGATCGGAAGTACAGTGCCTGCACTCTGAAGGAGGGGTGTTAATGTTGCAGTTCAAAAACTGTAGTGTAAAGCACCCTTCTGGCAAGACAGTGATGGAGTGAATGATGGTGAAAGTTTTTCTTTTTCGGGCCACCATGCCTTGGTGGGAATCGGCCAGTGTGATAAAAAAAAAAAAAAAAAAAAAAAATTCAGTGAAACTGGCTAGCCAGACTTGATTCCTGGAGGTGGGAAGCACAGTTCCTGAACTCTGAAGGTTCATCATCTGAACTGTTGTATCTATGTGTCTCTGGGAAGATAGTGACAGCATGAACATTAGGAAAGTGTTTCTGTTGTTTGGGTCACCCTTCCTCGGTGGGAGACGGCCAGTATGTTAAAACAAAAATACATAGTGGACCCTCGAATTTCATCCCTTTTCTGAATGTAAAACTATAGTTATTCTCTATAAAATGTATTTTTTGTTAATATATCCCATAAGAAATAAATGTAAATCCAATTAATCCATTCCAGACACCCAAAAATATTAACAAAAAATGCATTTTATAGAGAATAACTATAGTTTTACATAGAGAAAAGGGATGATGAAATTCAGTGGTCCACTGTATATACATTATGCACAATGTGTAATAATTACATTTATGTGATACATACTGTGTAGTTATTATGTGTATGTGTACACAATGTACAACAATTACATGTGTGCACATGTACACAAGTGTACATTCAGAACAACCACTGTGAAAAAATAGTGAACTTCCAAGCATTTTTGTGATTTCTCACACTGATAATGTGAGAAATCATGAAAGTACTTTGAATTTCACTATTTTTTTCACAGTAGTAGTTCTGCATATTGTGATATCACTTGTTTACTGAGATCTTACTGCAACAAGTGTACGTATGTAAGAGAGCAAAGAGAAATCTAAAATGAAGAATTATCTGTTCTCTCACAATAAACACAAAACTACTTACATGGGGCATAAAACATAACAAGAACATGCTTTTTCTTTTTGAGAAATGATTTATAATTCTCATCAGTTAGATGTACAACTGAGGATTCCACCTCTGACCAGGGTTTCTCAGGCGGCGGCGGTGGAGGGGGCTCCTGAAAAATAATATATACGCTAATCAATACAAATTCTGCTATACTGGTACAATGGAAAAGACATGTCTTGAAAATATTTTATTTCAGAGAAACCAAGTTTTTTTTTATCATGGACGCCATTTCATAAAATCATTTGCTCCATCACTGTTTTGCAAAGCTCTCCACCCCTTCTTCAGAGTGAAGGTATGGTACTTCCCACCTCCAGGACTCAAGTCCAGCTAACCCGTTTTCCCGAATCCCTTCAGAAAATGTTACTTGCTCACACTCCAACAACTTGTCGAGTCCCAAAAATAAGTTGCCTCCACTCACTCCTAATATGCTCACAATCTCCTGCTAAAGGTCCAAGTCCCTCGCACATAAGACCTCCTTTACCCAGTCCCTCCAATGTTTCCTTGGGTGACCCTTACCCAGTCATCCCTCTATTACAGATTTATAAACCCTCCAAGTCACCCTAGTTTGATTCATTCTCTCAAAATGACAAAACCGTCTAAACAATCCTTCTTCAGCCCACTGGAAAATACTTTTAATAACTCCACACCTCCTAATCTGCAAGTAACGAATTCTCTACATAATATTCACACCATACATTACCCTCAGACATGACCTCTCCACTGCCTCCAACCTCCTCACAGCAACATTCATAACCCCATGTTTCACACCCATGTCAGAGTGTAGGTACCACTATACTCTCACACACATTCCTCTCTGTCTCCATGGATAACATTCTCTGTCTCAACAGATGTCTCAATGCACCATCCACATTTTTTCCTTCATCATTCTATGGTCACCTTGTCTTTTGTATACCCATCCACCGACAAGTCAGCTCCCAAATATTTGAACACATTCATTTCCTACATACTCCCTCCTTCCCCTGATATCCAATCTTTCATTACATAACTCGTTTATTACCCTCATCATATTGCTGTTTCCTATGTTCACTGTTAATTTCCTTCCTTTACATACCCTCCCAAATTTGTCCACCAAATTTTGCAACTTCTCTTCAGAATTTCACAAAAGCATAACATCATCAGCAAAAAGCAACTGTGATAATGCCCTTTTCATATTAGATTCCACATATTTTAACCTGACACCTCTCCCCATCACCCCAGCACTCAATTTTTTAACAACCCATCTATAAATATGTTAAACAACCATGGCAACATCACTCAGCCCTGTCTAAAGCATTCATTTACAGGAAAATAATATCCTTGTCTCTTACATATCCTAACCTGAGCCTCACTCTCCTCATAAAAAACTCTTAATTAACAGCAATATACCACCTATTTCATACACTAGCAACACTGCTCCACTAGCCATCTTATCAAATGCCTTTTCTAAATCCATGAAAGCAACAAAACTTCCTTACCCTTATCTAAATATTGCTCACTTACATGCTTCAAAGTAAACACTTGGTTTACCCATCCACTACCATTTCTAAAGGCTCCTTGTTCATCTTGAGCTACAAAGTAAACCTTCATAGCTTCATTTATTTGTAAAGCAAAGAAAAGGTTTTAAACCAGCAAGCATAGATGAGTGTGTTAGATAGGAGTGAATGGAGACAAATGGTTTTTAGGGCTTGATGTGCTGTTGGAGTGTGAACAAGGTAACATTTATGAAGGGATTCAGGGAAACTGGAAGGCTGGACTTCGAGTCCGGGAGATGGGAAGTACAGTGTCTGCATTCTGAAGGAGTGGTGTTCATGTTGCAGTTTTATAACTGTAGTGTAAGCATGCCTCTAACAAGATAGTAATGGAGTGAATGATGAAAGTTTTTCTTTTTCGGGCCACCCTGCCTTGGTGGGAAACGGCCGATGAGTTAATAAAAAAAATCCAACCTTCTTGAAGCTATCTATCATTACTGTGATTGGAAAAACCTTAGCAATACTGCTTTCAAGATGGAAGGTCACAAATCTTGTCAGAACACACACTTCATAAATAGTCCCAAAGTAATTTTTTTTTTTAACACGACAGCTGTCTCTCACAGAGGCAGGGTGACTCAAAAAAGAAACACTTTCACCATCACTCACACAATATCAATGTCTTTGCAGAGGCACCCAGATATGACAGTTGAAATGTCATTTCAAACAGCCAATATCCCAAACCCCTCCTTTAAAGTACAGGCATTGTACGTCCCATCTCCAGGACTCAAGTCTGGCTGACCAGCTTCCCTGAATTCCTTCACAAAATACCCTGCTCACACTCCAACAGCTCTTTAGGTCCCAAAAACCGTTTGTCTCCATTCACTCCTATCTAACATGCTCAAACATGCCTGCTGCATTTCCAGGCCCCTTGCACACAAAACCTCTTTTACTCCCCCTCCCTCCCTCCTTTCCTAGTATGACCACTACCCCTCCTCTCCTCCACTACAAATTAATACACTCTCCACCCTTCTTCAGCCCTCTGAATACTTTTAGTAACTCCACACCTCCTGATTTCTACACTACAAATTCTCTGCATAATATTCACAACACACATTGCCCTGAGACACACCTCCACTCCTTCCAGCCTCTTTCTTGCTGAACCATTCACAACCCATATAAAAGTGTTGGTACCACTATACTCTCATACATTCCCTTCTTCGTCTCCATGGATGACTTTTTTTTGTCTCCACAGATACCTCAATGTACCACCCACCTTTCTTCCTTTCATTAAAAAAATCCTGGGACCTTGGAGGCCACTCTTAGTCTCCTAAGGGTGATCCAATATCCTGGAGACTATTCAAACAATCATTGTTGAATGGTCGTGCTTCATAATAATAATGTGCTTTCAAAACATAGTAAATCTGTTCAGCAATGTTTTATAAAATAAAACCGTATTCAATCTTTTCAGCTTCAATGTGAAAGGATGGAAGAGCATTTTAATCCGTAAACGGTCCAAACGTATATATACGTTCACTACCGTACTGCCCCAAGTTTTTTTTTGGAAAAAAAAAAAAACATTGTTGTTTTTTAATAGGAAAAAAGAGCATATGGTACCCAGGCATCCCCAATTATTTTAATATGGTGCACAGTGAGTGCTCACACCCATTCTCACATGTCTAGGTGACTCAGGCTTATCATGGCAATGTTAAATGTAGGACACATAAAACGTATATATACATTTGGGGCACTAGCGGTAAAAACGTATATATATGTTTGGACCGTTTACGGGTTAAGGAATGGTTATAGTAAATAACACCACCTTTCATATTATCATTCACACTATAGCATCACAGGAAATTAGTGTCTTCATATTCCAGCAAAATATATATATATATTTTTTTAACAAGTCGGCCGTCTCCCACCGAGGCAGGGTGACTCAAAAAGAAAGAAAATCCCAAAAAAGGAAATACTTTCATCATCATTCAACACATAATCACTGTTTTTGCAGAGGTGCTCAGAATACAACAGTTTAGAAGCATATACGTATAAAGATACACAACATATCCTTCCAAACTGCCAATATCCCAAACCCCTCCTATAAAGTGCAGGCATTCTACAGTACTTCCCATTTCCAGGACTCAAGTCCAGCTATATAAAAATAACCGGTTTCCCTGAATCCCTTCACTAAATATTACCCTGCTCACACTCCAACAGATCGTCAGGTCCCAAATACCATTCGTCTTCATTCACTCTTATCTAACATGCTCATGCGCGCATGCTGGAAGTCCAAGCCCCTCGCCCACAAAACCTCCTTTACCTCCTCCCTCCAACCTTTTCGAGGACGACCGCACCCCACCTTCCTTCCCCTACAGATTTATACACTCTCCGTGTCATTCTACTTTGATCCATTCTCTCTAAATAACCAAACCACCTCAACAACTCCTCTTCAGCCCTCTGACTAATGCTTTTATTAACTCCACACCTTCTAATTTCCACACTCTGAATTTTCCGCATAATATTTACACTACACATTGCCTCCAACCGTCTCCTCGCTGCAGCATTTACAACCCAAGCTTCACACCCATATAAAAGTGTTGGCACCACTATACTTTCATACATTCCCTTCTTTGCCTCCACAGATAACTTTTTTGTCTCCACATATACCTCAACGCACCACTCACCTTTTTTCCATCATCTATTCTATGATTAACCCCAGCCTTCATAAATCCATCCACTGACATGTTAACTCCCAAATATCTGAAAACATTCACTTCTTCCATACTCCTCCTCTCCAATTTGATATCCAATTTTTCTTAATCTAAATTATTTGATACCCTCACCACCTTACTCTTTTCTATGTTCACTTTCAACTTTCTACCTTTACACACACACTCAAACTTGTCCACTAACCTTTGCAATTTTTCTTTAGAATCTCCCATAAGCACAGTATCAACAGCAAAAAGAAACTGTGTCAATTCCCATTTTGTATCTGATTCCCCATAATTTAATCCCATCCCTCTCCCGAACACCCTAGGCATTTACTTCTTTTACAACCCCATCTATAAATACAGTGGACCCTCGCCTAACGAACGCATCGCATAACGTTAAATCTGCCTAACGAAGCATTTGAATGTAAAAATTTTGGCCCATGTAATGATAAAAAACTCGCCTAATGTGATTTGTCCGGGACGCGTCCCACGTGTGGTCTGAGCGCGCCTCAGCTGCCCCATGGGTGCCAGTGTTTACAAGCCAGCCAGTGCGGTCACATCTATGCATACACTCGGTACAGTTCACATTATCCCAGTGGTTTTAGTGCTTGTAACTGCAAAATAAGTCACCATGGGCCCCAAAAAAGCTTCTAGTGCCAAGCCCGTTGATAAAACGATGAGAATAAGTATGGAAATTAAGAAAGAAATAATTGAAAAGTATGAAACCAAACCCCAATCAACCATTGCTACTATCTTGGCCAACAAAACGGCAATCAAGGAAGCTGCTTTTGCAAAAGGTGCAAGTCTGTTTTCGAAACAGAGATTGCAAGTACTCGAAGATGTTGAGAGACTGTTATTGGTGTAGATAAACGAAAAGCAGGTAGCAGGAGATAGCCTCTCTCAAGCGATCATATGCGAAAAGGCTAGGAAGC